ATCGATTAGCAGCAGCTTAACCTTAACCCCGCTCCTCTATAACCACCCTCATTACACGCGTTGCTGCTGCGTGCGGGGCCAGAAGCCAGCCCGAAGAGAGCTGCAGCAGCAGCAGCAGCAGCAGCTGCTGCTGCTGCTCTTGCTGTTTACACCATCAGACAGCCAGTTACTAGCAGCAGCTTTCTNCAGCAGCAGCTGCTGCTGCTGCTCTTGCTGTTTACACCATCAGACAGCCAGTTACTAGCAGCAGCTTTCTTTGATTCTCTCCTCGCTAAGAGTACACAGCTCACCTCTCTATACACCCTACACTCTCCCCCCACCCCTCTCCTGCTGCTGCTTTTTATATAAAACTATATTCTGTATATTTCCCTCTTCTTATTTGGGGATCGTCTCGAGCAGCAATTGAGTTTTAGTAAACAACAGAAGACGATCCCAAAAGCAAATGAACTCCCCTCTAACCCCACCAGCCTGGGGGGCCTGGCCTAGCAGCCTGGGGGCGCAGCAGCGCAGCAGCGCAGCAGCACAGCAGCAGAGCTCGGTGTATACGAGTTGTTACGGAGCGGCTTGCTGCAACTTATGCTGCAACGCAGCCCCACATGCATGCACAACCAAGCCCACTCGCTGCATGCACTCACACTGTACACAAATGCTGGACACGTGCTTGGCCTCACATAGCCAGCTTCTATGAAGGTAGAAATACACAGACGAGCTCCATACAAAGTAAATACTACATCCGCCATATTCTCTCTCGCTGTCTCTCTCTCTCCCCCTCTCACCCCAGGCAGCACGTGTCCTCGTGTGTTTCGGTGCGTACGAAAGAATTTGTTAGCCGGAGGTGGGGCGGGGGAGACATGCTGCGCTTGCTGCTCGTACAGAAGTTGCTTTTGCAAGAGGTACTGATTGTTTACAGAGATCTATCCTGCGTGAGCACACATTCCTCTTCTCTGATCACCACAGTGGACGAGCTGCTGCTGCGTGTACGGCCAGAAGCCAGCCCGAAGACAGCTGCAGCCGCAACAGCTTCTGCTGCCTAGACCACCGGACAGTGAATAGCTAGCAGCAGAATCCTTTAATTCGTTATATTCAATGAAAGCAAGACTCATACCACTCTACAGAGCACTCTTATCCATATAGCCCTCAGCAGAAAGCCACCAAGTAATACACCCTTGAGGATTTCTCTCCCTTTCACTACATTATCATATATCTATGTACGACCAACTTGCTGCTGGAAAAGCAGCGAAGGCCCAGCTCAATAAAGACACAGACAGCGAGACAGCTCAAAATTAGTTGTTGAGAGTACCAACTCCTCTCCGTTAGCAGCGAGACCCTCTGGTGCGTTTTTTTGTTGCAGAAAATGCACGGGGCTGCTGGGGGCTCCGAGCCATGTGTATAGGGGGCGTGTCTCCAACACAACACGAATCCAAGAGTGAACATCTGATGAAATTTAGTGGGCTTATGCAAGTTGCTAAGCTTCATAAGAACTGATGAACCCTGCGACGAACGCTGCAGACACACGGTTAGCCTTCAGCAACCTGAAATGCATATACTCTCCTCAGGCATACCATGCTGCATGTTCTATCCCCTCCATTCTCAAACACTATAACCCAACAAACGGTGGGTGCACGGGGGGAGGGAGCGAAGCAGTGTACTAACCAATGGCCAGCCCGGGGCTGGCCAGTGGTCAGCACGGTGCTCTCTTCCTTTCGCCGGGGCTGGGAGCCTCGTTTTAATGGTGGCAACTTCAAAGTAAGCAAAAATATGGAATGAGGTGCTGATGATGCTTATCACCAGAAACACGAGCGAGGCTTTTCTCCGCCCGGTCCCAAGACACGGCATAGAACCAAAACATCAAGGAGTGAAGCTATTGTCGGTTGAAGCTCTGAGCTAGCCACAGGCAGATGAACGACCGTACTTCACAGCGTCAGACAGCGCGGCGTAAATATGAAGCTGCGGGCCCCTATGCATGCGACAGCAACTGCCTGCCAAACATTGCATGCGTTCCAGATTTACGTTGCCTTGTGCACGCCCCAGCTTATAGACGCCGCCAGTACGACGTGGAGTCCCCGCCGGCATTCCTGAGGCATTGCTTTGCTCAAGAGATTCTCAGAAGCCCAGGGGCTGGCCGTTTAACGCAACACTCTCGATCATTTCTTGTTGCCTCGTCATGCGACGCGTGCGCGGGGCACCAGTCACCTCCAGTTTATGCTTCCAGCAACCATTACTGCCGCTTTGTGGGGAAAGTTCTAAAAAGCCTCGGGCTGCTTCCCAGAACCATATCACATAATTTCAATCAATGGTATGGCGGCGTCTCCACGTGGGGGGTAAATTCACGGTGTAGGCTAACCGGAGAGAAAACCACAAAAGGCTTACCAGTGCATAGCGAGTGTTCTTGGCTGTTCACCTCCCCCTCCGGCGCTTCTCACAGAGCGTGTAAATTCACAAGGATCAAGTCACCAGCTCTAGAAGTAACTGCGAAACATCGTTTGTCGTAGTTATGCGCCTGACGCTCCTGCATTTTCTCCATAGATTCCGGAGCTGGTGCAAGCTGTGTATGAAATTTTGCAGCTGCCGTTGCACGGCGCTGGCCCTGACCGCAGTCAACCCCGCCCCACACGGGAACAGGGAGTGATATGCCGATGTAGGCAATGGCGACCGGAGGACAATGGGCCGAAGATCCTTAAAGTTCATGTTTAAGATAACTGAATTATTTTTTAAAGAGACGCCAAGAGGCTGGGGCATGAGACAACACTCCATGTTTTTGCTGGAGCTTCGTGGCAAGAATGCGCAACCTATGCTCGGGGCCGCCGTGACCCTCAACCATATAAAATATGTTAGACGAACAATTCGCTTGTGCGAATGCTCCCCCTGTCTTAGCTTGGGAGTTTCGTGAGCAGCAACAGTTGCCGCACGTAGGCAAAGCATTCTCAAAAAGCAAGCACTGCATTTCTCCCCTTAAAGGACTTCGTTTGCCCAGAAGCGTAAGGTTCGGGGTGCTGGAGCCCAAAGGAAGATGTTGCTAGTGTGCCTGTAGTTGCTGCAGCCCCAGCATCAGTGGATCCACAGCAACATAGATGTGACTGCACCATCTATCTGGTGGTAAGCATCCGTAGAAAGTCCATCGAAGCATCTATTCATACGCGTTCATCTATCGGGTGATAATGCAGCTAGCAGGGATT